AGATGACAAAGAGAAAACTGCCTTCGGTACCGGAAGCGGGTTATACCAGTTCAATAACCACCCGAATATCAGAAAAAGATACTAGTGAGACCAAATTGGCAGAAGCAAATGCTAAAGAAGTAGCACATTTAGCAAATCTGCTGCAAGCTAAAGAAGAAATAATCAAGGAATTAAAGGAAAAACAAATTTTACTTTATAAAAACATAACCCTACTTGAAGAAAAGGTAAACAATAATATTCTTTCTCTTCAAGTTCAAAATCAAAACATGAGGCAAAAAAAACCCAGCATACCCCAAAATATCGTCCTAAATAGGGAAATTTCTAATAGCAGTACTAACACAGAAGAGAAAAACAAAACCTCAAGCAAAACCTATAACCAAATAGTAGGAACCGGCAAAGAAAAAGTCGCAAAAGAAATAACCCCAAACTGGAGAACACTAGAAAAAGAACAACGTAAAAAGATGGACCAATACATTAATTTGGCACAAAGAAGGGATGATCTACCTGATAATGCTCAAAGTGTACATGGAGATATAAGTGATGGCCCCGAAGAAGAGTTCGTACAAGTAAAAAGTCGACGACGTTATACTAAGAGACTGGGAACAGGAAAAATAGAGGAGAATGGACAAGAAAAAGGATTTAGTGGACAAGATAGAAAGGCATGGCTATTTATAAACCGAGTGCAGTTACATGTCACAGAAGCGATGGTGTTGAACCATATTAGAAAGAAACCAGACTTTCAAGATGAAAATATTACTGTTAAAGAAATAACTCACAGTAATAAAAACAATTGGAAATGTTTTGTGGTAACTGCTCCCCTAACCAGAAAGGATGAATTATACAATCCAGATTTCTGGCCAGCAAATGTAGGAATAAAACGATTTAATTATAATGTGTACAAAAAATCTAGGCCCTTAGGAAATTTTTAGAAATACAAGATAGCTCAATCTATTGCCCAAACGTTCATCCACAAACCAAAAAAATTGAAATTAATAAACAGAACATTTTTCCACAGGAAAAACATAGCATAAGTGTTATCCATCAGAATGTTCAGTCTCTTGGCAACGCTGTGGACAGAATCCAATATTTTTTGCAAAAAGAAAACAATTGTATGCTCTTTCTTGTAACAGAGCACTGGAAAACAGATGAGCAGTTGAGACTACTACCAATACAAAACTTTAATCTTGCAGCACAATGGTGTAGGGACGAAAACGAACATGGAGGTGCAGCTGTCTTTGTGAATTCAAGTCTTGAATATAAACCAAGGAAAAAAATTAGTGACTTCTCAGTAAAAGGTGAAATGGAATGTGCAGCAGTAGAATGCTCCATCAACAAAGAAGTATTTATAGCAATAGCAATGTACAGGCCATGTAAAGGTAACAAAGAAACATTTTTAGAACTGTTAGAAAAACTTTTAAATAGTATACAGGGTGAGAATAAAACAATTGTCTTGGGTGGTGATTTCAACATTGAACTTAAGACTGACAATAAATATAAAACAGAGTTTTTATCACTTCTTGATTCTTTCTCATTACATAAACATATAGAAGAGTACACAAGGATAACAAATAATACAAAAAGCAGCATAGATAATATATTTAGTAATATTAAGTACCATGTAAATAGTTTTATAATTTCAAATCATATTTCTGATCATTTTGCACAAAAAATTTCTTTTAACATACAAAACAACAAAACTATTCCAAGTAAATTAGTGAGAACATATTCAGAACAGTCAAAACTAGAGTTTGTAAATAAGCTAGGACAGGAAAACTGGGAATCAGTTTATAAAATAGAGGCTCACAATGTAGATAGTCAGTGGGATAATTTTTCTTCAATTTTTTTAAAACTTTTCAATGAGCACTTTCCAAAAAAAACTGTAAGACATAAATCGAAAAATAAGATGTTTTATTGCAACCCTGAACTGGCAGCATGTAAGCAAAATTTAGATTTATTGTTAGGATTAAGCAATTCTGATAGTAGTTTTAAAGAATTGTACAAAGCTGAAAAAAAAAGTTATGATAAAATCTTAGTTGAATCGAGAAAAAACCATTATAATAACAAAATAAGATCATCAGATAATAAAAATAAAGCAATGTGGACAGTATGCAACGACATTCAGGGCAACTCTCCCAGAAATGCAAACTGCCAAATCCGGGGGACACCTGAATCAATAGCCAATAATTACAATAACTTTCTAATCGAATTAATTCCAAATCTAATAAAGAACAGTAAAAATTTCAATTGTGACAACATAAAAAACAATGCTTCTTTATATAGGTATAAGACCTTTTATCCCAGAAGAAATAATAGAAATATCTCAAAAACTTAAAAATAAACTAAGTAGTGGCATTGATGAAATTCCCGTGAATATTGTTAAACTAAGCATTCCAAGTATAAAGATAGTTATTTGTTATGTTATAAATAATTCATTCAAATTTGGCATTTTTCCTAACCAGCTAAAGGTAACTCTCATAAAACCGATTTTTAAGTCAGGAGATCCAGAAAAATTAGAAAATTACAGACCCATAAGTTTGCTAAATAGCTTTTCAAAAATCTTTGAAATGGCAATGTCCCTTAGACTGTTAAGTTTTTTTAATGAATGTAATCTGGTTAGTTCATCACAACATGCATATCTAAAGGGTAAATCGACAAATACAGCAATTTTTCAATTTACATATAATATACTCAAATTTCTTGAAGAAAATAAATTAGCTGCTGGGCTATTCATCGACTTATCAAAGGCTTTTGACTGCCTAAACAGAAACTATTTAAAAGAAAAGCTAAAAAATTATGGTATAAAGGGAAGAGCTCTGAGTTGGCTGACCTCATACTTATCAGATCGCTGGCAATGTGTGGAAATTCATAGGAACAATAACTCATCTAGATCAGGATGGCTGCAAAATCAGGTGGGAGTACCCCAGGGGAGCATACTAGGGCCGATACTATTCCTGGTCATGATAAACGATCTGAGCTCGGTGTGCAGCGGATTGGAAGAGTCTGCAATAACAAATTATGCGGATGACACCAATCTGCTGGTCGCCGGAGTGGATCGGCATGACTTGGAAGAAAAAAGCAATGAGCTATATTCTCGAGCAGAGGATTGGTTTGAGAAAAATGAACTAGTTATAAACGAGAGCAAGACAAGCATTGTGATTTTTCGCACTAATAAACTAAAAGAGAAACCATCAGCAATAAGTATCCATAATCAGGAAATTGACATATCAGAGCACACTAAATTTTTAGGTGTTATAATTGATGAATTTCTAAAATGGTCAACACACATTGAAAGTTTAGTGAAAAAATTGAACGGTGTTTGTTTTGCACTCAGAGTACTAAACAGATATGTAGAAGACAAAGTTAAAAAAATCCTTTACTATGCAAATTTTGAGTCTCGGATGAGGTACGGTATCATTTTCTGGGGAGTCAGTTCTTCAACACAATCAGTCTTTGTAGTCCAAAAGCGAACTATCAGGTTATTGCTTAACATGAGCTTCAGAGACTCCTGTAGAGGCAAATTCAGGGAGTTGGGTATTTTAACAGTTTATGGTCTATACATACACGAGTGCCTCTTATATTTGCATAAAAACAAAAATGAATTTTTAATACATAACACTAACACCACATACAATACAAGGACCACAGATATTTATTATCCTATTCATAGATTAACTTTAAGTGAAAAAAATCCATCTTATAACTGTATTAAAATATTTAATAAATTACCAAACGACTTTAAAATAATAGAAAACTACAAGGAATTTAAAAATAAAACCAAGAAATTGTTAATAGACATAGAACCATATTGTGTGAAAGATTACTTGGATATGTAATTTAAGTATATTGTTTTGTGACGCCATTTCATTTCATGTTATTTTGTAATGCTGTAATATGTATTGTAAAAACTTAATTTGAAATAAAGCTACTATTCTATTCTATTCTATTCTATTCTATTCAATGTAATGCCTTTCGGATTGTGTAATGCTCCAGCTACGTTTGAGCGACTGATGCATCTTGTTTTGCGAGGCCTTACATGGAGAAAATGCCTGGTATATTTGGATGATGTCATGATCATGGGAAATTCGTTCCAGGAACATCTCAATAACCTGAAAGAAGTTTTTGACCGCTTCCGGAATGCCAACTTGAATCGTATCTCTCGACAATAATGAAACACTTTCCACCTCCGCATGTAATATGCTATTACTACCTTCCAATACAAATGATAACTTTTTTGTGTTATGAGCTTCTCGTCTAATCTGTGAATGCATAAAAGTTACATAAAATTTATGATTTTCTCTAATTTTTAGTAGTACCTACCAATTTTTTCATTATATGTAGATACATATTTTCATATTTAAAATTTTCATTATTCATTATACATAGGTATTTATTGTTTCTTTAATCAGCACAACAACCGCATCACACCTATTGTAAGCTCGCACTGTTGATTTATATCTGGAAAAAAAATTCAGATTATTATATAGAATCAATAGAATGTCTAGATTTTCCCTGCTTTCGTAAGACCATTTCTAGATTATATAGCTCAACCACAGTAGTCAGTTTTCATGACTGAGCGTGAAAATGAGAGAATTTCTAGAACTGTCACCGAAATTCCTGAATCAACTGCTGGGACCTCGAGTAGGTATATGGTATACCCTTAGGTATACCTACCTACTACTTATTGGTATTGATTCCACCAAGACCTTTAATAGCACAGAATGAGGTAAAAATGGAAGAATATTTTACTACTCTTCTAGCATCATACGACTCATGGGATATGGGAGGCTAGTGGTTCCAGACTAGTAGGAAGCTATGAAAACAGGAAAACCACAGTTACTGCACCAACTATTAATTTTAAAGTAGCAGGTGAATGAGATGAGCAAAACAACAGAATTTGTAAATGCAAATTCCGGATTAGATTAATGTGATTGTGATTCCTTCGCTAAGGGCATCACGCATATACGTTCTTTACTGAGATTTTTTGCAATTAAAATAAGGAGTAAAATATTTTTAATGATTTATTTAAACAATAATTGTAAAAATCGGTATTAAATCTAATCCTTAGTATTAAAAATATCTATGTATTTTGTTTTATAAGTTTCCTCCAATGGCAACAATTTTAATTCCTCGCAGATAGAAGTCCAAATTAACAAGATCCGATAATTGAGCGTTAAAGTAATCAGTCGGCGTAACTTCTTTGATACCACCAAAATAGTCCAAGACAAGGATTTGTTGTAACTCTATTTTGGCAACGTAAAATTCGTGACCTGGAAATTTAAATTATTAAGAAAATCATTATTCCTTAGATTTCCTTACCTGCGGGCCAATCTTTCATTGCAGGATGTCTTTCAAAAAGTGAATCTATAGCAAAATCGTATTCAGAAGTTGAATTGTTCACCTTGAAAAGCAAAAGAGTTTTATTAATATTTCAATAATGCCTTATTTGTTTTCGTAAAATACCTTGAGTAGCCTACCAGAAATAATTACTTTGGCACATCGTGGGTCTTGAGGATCATATTCCTTATTGTCACAATAGCTGGATGCTGCCAATGTTGCCATTATGGTAACGTTATTGTTCACCTGAAAAAATATTTCTGCGTTTTTCTTGCCTGAACCATATTTGAACTTACAAGAACATCCTTTCCTGAAACATCCATGTTTGTCATGTAAAGATATGGAGTTCCAGTGGAATTATCCATTGGACCGTCGCTAAGGGATTTCAGAGAGACGAAAGGAAATCCTTTTATACTGTCACGTGTGGAAATTGTAGCAAGGGACAACCAATCTATAAATATTTATATAATAATATTTAATATGAAGTGTTCCAAGAAAAATATTAATAAATAATATAAACAAATCAATTTCAAAATTTTAAAGTACCTAGACAAAAACAAAAATATCTACATTTTTGCAATACCTATGTATCATAATATACAATTTGTAGATAAAAACTTTGCAAAACTGATCCTATCTCAATGTTTTCCTATGACTCTTATGAGTTTTGTTGATCAACTTTATTATCGGTCAACTAAAACTGTCTATGAGTATCGCACTTTTTAAAATAGAATATTATTATCAGATATATTATATTATCGAAGGTCTGACTGATATTTTGGAAGGCCAAAAATCAAATTATGTTTTCTTCTAAAAGTACCTGAGCTCTGCAATGGGCCCATTTAGTGAAGCGGAACTTTAATTACTTTGATGCAGCTCAATCAGGGTTTAGGAAGACTGGGGTAAGAGGGTAAGAAAAAAATGAGAGTGTAGATATCCCAAGAAAGCAATTAACTCTTCCACATGGAAGATGCGCCCTTTTTGTTCTACAGCCTAGCTGTTGTTTTATAACTGCATCTAGGCAACTGTAGATGTTTTATGAAAATTTGAAATGGTTGGTTAAACTTATTATGTAGAATCAAGTTTTCGCAAAGTTTGGTTCGCGTACTCGTCTGCCTTTGGTGAATTTTGTGATAAATCTCCACATAAATTCAAATTTGTAGTTTTTTTAAGTACCTACCTTTAAGATAGGTTATTGTAGGTACCAATATGTTAACTTTCCATAGAAACAAATCAAATGAAATATAGCATATTATACTTGCTTGAGTTATGTATTATGTACCGGGCCATTAAAGCTACATTGTTATGTGGAGGAGGTCCACCAGAAGTAGTACTGGTACTAGTACTAGTTTTCCAACCTCTGCCTAGGACGCTACCATACCATAATGCCAAAATAAACTAAAATATTCATTTAAATTAGTTCAAATTTGTGCATATAAGCCAAAAAGCACACAATAAACTTACTCCTATTAAAAACACAAAGCGCATTTTTCTATTTTTAACAAACAGCAACTTTGCCAAACTGCACCAAGACACTGATTAAGGATTTCATTAAATCTAAATATAAAAGCTTCTAATGGTGATTCACAATAAGGCAAATCATCATTTGACGGCAGATAACCGATAAAGCTTGGCGTGCGATTTAAAGTGCATTCATACAAATTATTTTTAACAAAGGTAATATAGAAGTCAATAGGTCTATCTTGTTATTGGAGTAAATAAATGCTTTTTTTTTTCGATCCGTAACTTTTGCTATTTGAAAGTCAAGGATTGATTTTGCAATTTTCATTTTTCCACGCATTTTCTATTTTTATTCTTACTATGATTAGGTTTGTAATAATTTATCATTAACCTACTCTTTTGTTTTGTTCAATAACGTTCAATATACGAATTATGGGAACAATAAAATTATTCAATAATTTTATTGTTGTATATACCTACTTTACTAAATTAAAATTTGCGTCTTGGTACAGTTTTCAGAATTTGATGTTTTTTTCGTTTCTGATTCGGCCAATGATGGTTCATTCTCCATTATTGCCTAGGAAAGTATTTTATCGAGGTTACTATGAATTACTAGTGTGATAATTGATTCAGCTAGCTCTGTACCTATTTGTTCATGTTGGCTTTAATACCAAGAGCTTTCTCTGTTTGTAACAAGTCATATTGGGCAGTCCAGCGCCCCAGTCAGATCAAAAAATAGTGTAATTACAAAGTGAGAGGAGTTCAAAGACATTTAAACAAAATTCAGCCATTCGACGAATGTTGTGGTAGGTAGTTGAGAAGTTTCTTCAATATTCATGTTGATTCTCACAGATATTGATCTAACCTAAGCGATTCAAAACTGCTTTTTCAAAAATTTTGGAAAAAGTTAAGTAAGCCTTGTAATTTTCTATTGTATCTTCTCACCTTATTCGAGAATCGGAATTACCTACTTCACCTATTTCAAGAGTGGAGATTCGAAATAAAGCCCAAAGGATATAGATAAATAACTGTTCATTGATGAGAGGTCATTTTCTAATATACTTAGAAAAAATAAACGATTTTTTATAGTTACATTAATTTAATCTATTAATACAGGGTCAATTGAAAACGGTAAATATAACAATTTGAGAAAAACAAAAACCCAACACACATATATATATATATGCTCGTTCAAATCAATTAAAGATTTTCAACAAACTCTCTATTGCATATCGTTCTCTACATGTGTAATTATTGATTCCAGAAGAATTAGTTTCATTTATATCCTATTGAAACTCTCGTATTTGTTCCAACTTAGATTTCAACAAATTTTCATTTAGCCTATGTTTACATAAAAACTCCTGGTTAAGAAATAGCACAGGTATTTCATAACGATAGAGTCTCAACCACCGAACGTTTTCTTTTCGAGAAATATCGATAGTTTCAAAGTCGACTAAATGCATGTATGGTGATAATTCTGCTTTTAATTCTTCGCACAACGGACAAGGGTCTTTGGTGTATAGGGTCAGTTTGGGCAACTGATTTTTTGAAAGCGGTTCGGACCTACCAAAAATAAAAACAAATATCTAAGACTTTGTAAAATAGACAATTATAATATATATTTGAAAAATAATGTTTGCAATAATAACAAAAAATAGCACCTATATATAAAATTAAAAGTATAAAGTAAATTTGTAAGTATAAAGTAAATCACCTTTAAAACATTTTTAACCAATACCTAGGCTTAAATATACTTAACGAAAAAAAATATTAAAAAATCAGTGTTTAGGATTTTAGGAAAGTATCATCATTACATTACAAACTTACAATCTCTCAATCATGATGGAAGATGCTCCACCACCCCCGTTGCAAATTGATGCAACACCTTTTTGTCCCGGTTTCAAAGCATGCACTAAATGTACCACAATCCTTGCCCCAGACATTCCGATTGGATGACCTAAGCTCACAGCTCCACCGTGAACATTGACTTTTTTTGGATCAATATCCATTAATTGTTGATTGGCCAAAACGACTACGCTGAATGCTTCGTTGACTTCCCATAAGGCTACATCATCTTTTTTTACTCCAGTTTGTTCTAAAAGTTTTGGTACCGCTGTTGCTGGGGCGATGGGGAAATCGATGGGTTCACAAGCGCCATCAGCAAATCCGACGATTCTGGCTAGAGGTTTAAGGTTCAATCTTTCAGCTGCTGATCTTGTGGTTAAAATCAAAGCTGCTGCGCCATCGTTTAATGTAGAAGCATTTCCTGCTGTGACAGTGCCATTTTCTTTTTGAAATACGGTTGCCAGTTTTGAGAATTTGTCAAAATTTATTCTTTTGTATTCCTCGTCTTCGGCAACAACTTTATCAGGTTGTCCTTTTTTCTGGGGAACATTGACCTGGACAATTTCTGAGTCAAATTCTCTATTTTGCCAAGCCTGTGCACTCCTTTTGTAAGAACTAATAGCAAATTCGTCTTGCTGCTGTCTTGTTATTCCTAATTTTTTGGCGGTATTTTCTGCACAGCTGCCCATGTGAATTTTATTGTATACATCAGTGAGACCATCGAATACTATACCATCTACCAAGTTTACGCCGCCATAAGGGGTTTGCCCTCTTTTCAAGTAAAATGGTACATTGGACATTGATTCCATTCCACCTGCTAAGACAACTTCTTGAGCTCCGGTTTGTAAAGCTTGAGCACCCAACATGACTGACTTCATTCCTGAAGCACATACCTAAAAACAAAACATTAACAGAAAATCGATTCAAGGATAACTAGTTTCTTACTTTATTGATAGTGGTACAAATGGTAGAAGTTGGTAATCCAGCAAAAATTGTGGCTTGCCGAGTTGGAGCTTGTCCCACACCACCCTGACACACGTTTCCCATAAAAACTTCCTTAATTTCTCCTTTTGGTATTCCAGCTTTTTCTACCGCTCCTTGAATGGCTGTAGCTCCTAGTTGTGTCGCCGATAGTGGAGCCAGAGATCCCAGGAAACATCCAATTGGTGTGCGGACTGCTGAAACGATGACGACTTCATTTAGATTGGTTTTGGTTGCGTAGGTACGGCTAGTTGCCTTCAAAGTCTAAAAATTCAAGAAAAAATACTTTTTAGAACATGACAGTTGTTGAAACCTATGCCTAACGAGCAGTCAGAGGGTACTTATTATTTGTTCAAGATTGTAAATTAACAAAGATTATAGGATAAATAGGTAGGTATAATTTGTTCAACACTTCGTTGAAGTCAACGACGTATTCAGAAGTCATGTTTTTATACAATGGACCAAATAAGTATTACCTATTTACCACAAATAAAATAAATTTAAAAAGCTTCTGAAAAATTCTATAATATCGTCAAACTTGGTAGGAATAATACTTGATATGATCTATAAAAAGACACAGTTTAAGCACAGCACAGCGCCAAAACTTTTTTCAACGATAAGTTTGGATTTTTTACAACATTGTGGTTGTATTTCCCGCCTTCAACCCCTAGATAAATATGTGCTTTTTTGGATATGTCATTGAGATCTTACTCGGGATCTTCTCAAGCAATATTTCCACCAACTTTGGTGCTGCTATTAAAATTTTCAAAGAAGTTTGGATTTTTTTACAGTTTTGGGGTTGAATTTCAACCTCGTGTAGATGACTGCTAATAATTTCTAACAACTTCGATGATGTTAATAGAATAGAATAGAACCTCATTTACGAACAAGCCATTTTACAATATAATAATTCTTAATCTATATATTTAGGTGGGTATGTAATATAATAAAAAATCATATTGTGTCGCTGTCTAGACAGAGCCCCTAATAAACAAAACATTGAGTATTAAAAAAAAAAAGAAAAAAACAACACAACATGCTAAAATCTGTAGAGAAGGCGACTATTATCAAAAAAGAAAAAAAAAAAGATAACAATAATAAAAAGTTTTTAACAATAAATAGACATAACATATGGTGATTTTTCCAAACAAGAATAAAACCACTAGCAGAAACAATCGTTAGATCGATTTGATTTGTCTTCTGAAAACTTCCAGTCCAATATTGAGAAGATCCACATTCAATTTATTTATCAAAGCATTTGCCAGTCTTAAAAATCTATAGTTATAGGAGAATTGTACCCATAATTAGTACAATGATATTGTACATAAAATAGTCCATTATTTCTTATGTTATGTGGTTTATTAAAACCACCCAAAGATAAAAGCTGAGGTGACTGGATTATATTATCCACCAGTTTGAACAGAATATACAGGTCCTAATGATCTCTCCTCTGGGTTAGAGTTTGCATGTTTAAAAGTTTTAAGGTATCATCATAATCAATAGCGTCATGGACTAATATTTAGTTTGTATGCAACATGTTTCAAGAATCTTCGTTGTACTCTCTCCAGTTGCTAGTTTTGTTTACCATAAAAGGGGGACCAAACAGGACTTGCATACTCCAGAATTTGGCGAACTATAGCCGAAGAGGCATTCCTCACGTTGTAAATGTTATCCCTCAAATAACGCATTACAAATCTCAATAATCGCATGGCTTTATCGGATATTTTTCCAATATGTTCAGAAAAATTCAATTCGACATCTAGAAATACGCCAAGATCTCTAATAACATAAACCCTATCAAGTTCGGTTCCATTTATCGAGTAGGGCTTTTAGATCTATGGAAAGACATCACTTTGCACTTATCGATGTTTAGTGCCAAATGATTCTCTTCACAGCAGCTGAAGAAATTGTTGAGTTCTCCTTGCAAGATTTCACAGTCATGGATATTTTTTATAGTGACAAAGACTTTCAGGTCATTAGCAAAATTGCGAAGTTCACAGTGTTCAAAAACATTCTTAACGTCATTCAAGAAAAGATTGAAAAGGAGAGGGGGCAGATGCCGACCCTGCAAAACATCAGAAGTTTTCTATCTTCACTCTCTGTTTTCTTCCTGGAAGATGGTCAATCACCCACCTCAGAAATGATCCATGAAACCCCATACTTTCCTGATTTTTTTCCAGAATTTTATGGTCGACCGTATCAAACGCCTTGGAGAAGCCGGGTATATATCACGTCCACCTGATACCCTCCCTCCAATGCATAACAGAGCTTGCTCAAACTCCAACAAGTTGGTACCTGTGGATTTGCCTTTCATGAACCCATGTTGTTCTGGTATAATTATATTCTTGAAAAGAGGTGTTAATTTAGGTGTAACTATTGACTCAATTTTTGTCAATTTTCGCTATTTTAGGTAAATCCAATGACCTTTCACTAGTGAAACGTAATATGGGTAAATCAGTCTTTTCTCTACAATGGATTTTTTGTGTCTTTCAGAGAGACAGTGACAATTTAAAATTGTAGGTTGAAGTATAAATTACCAGTAAAAAAAAAATAGAGCCAGAATAAACTAAGAGGTCCTGGGGTGAAAGTGGGTTTTACATGATTTCAGTTTATTGGAGATGTAATCATACCACACCAAAATGTAAGTTAAAAACTACAATTTTATACATTTCTCAAGTTACATTTTGTGTACCTATATTGATGGATTCACATGTCTTCTTTATTCTTCATCATCAAAGTTGGGTAATTCTTGTGGTGGGCTTACGTTATGACCATTTTTTTTTTAGGCCTTGAATTATTCTTCATAATACTAAGTAGCTATATAAAATATTTTTCTGATCACGGAAGGATACACTTTGAAATCAATCGCGAACTCTCTAAAGCCAAACCAAGACAGACTGGAAAAAATTCTCGCTTCTCATGGAAGAAGAAAAAAATCTGGTTATTCCTACCAATGAGTCAAATCCTCCAACCATAGAGAGCATATAGGAAATTGTCAGAGTCCTAGAGGAAAAACTACGAAAAGCTTTCCATAAATCTTGCCTCTAGAGCCGACCCCGCAAAGGCACCAGTTCCCCCTGGTGGACAGCGGAATTAAGACAACTGAGGATTAAAACAAGGAAACTTTTCAACCACTGGCGAAAAGAGGAAGACTGGAATGAATACAAAAGGAGCTCATGGCAGGAATTCTGCGAGTCCATTATGGACACTCATGAGTCAGCCAGGCTCAAAAAATCTTTTTGAGGGACTCGAAGGCCTGACGATACGTGGACAGAATCCAGCAAAGTAACCCTCGAGCTTCCAATAAAGACACACTTCCCAGGTTGTACGGAAGTAGATACCAACAGCTCCGAAGAACAATTGGAATCTATCTCAAAAACCGACGAAGAAGTGCTAAAAAGAATAATTACGAGGGAAAAAGTGGAATGGGTGAATCAGGCATTTCAACCTCAAAAGACAACAGACCAATTAGCTTATCATCATTCTTGTTATAGACACTAGAGAAGCTGATTGATATTCACATTAGAGAATTAACGGGAATAAACACGCAATACCCAGATCAACATGCATACCTAAAAGGAAGGTCAGTCGAAATTGCACTGCATGAACAAGTTGGAACAACTGAAAGATTTCTCGAAAATGAGGAATACACACTTGGTGCATTTCTGGACATAGAGGATGCATTCAATAATGTAATGAATGAGTGCATTGAAAAATCCATGGAGCACCTGAAGGTAGAACCAGTCATCATACAATGAATAATAAAAATGCTGAAAAGCAGAATCATTAATTCAGAAATTGGTAACTATACCATAAGGAAAAGAACACCCAGAAGCACCCCACAAGGAATTGTGATATCTCCACTCTTGTGGCTGGTGGTAATCAATATTGATTACCAACAGCCACAGGATCATATATCCTGAAAAGAGAATAAAATTGATTGTGTATGCTGGGGACGTAGTACCTAGTACTGATGAGGGACTTCAGCTTATCAACCATCAGTGAAATCATGGAATCAGCATTTAAGGAATTCCCCAGATGGGCAGGAGAGAACGGATTGGGAGTACATCCTCAAAAAACCAAGCTAATCCTGTTCACAAGTAAATACAAAATCCCTAGTTTAACAATGCCGACAGTTGGGGGACAAACCATCGAACTATCAAAAGAAGCGAAGTACCTAAGGGTCGTTCTGGACTCCAAACTCTTGTGGAGGAGAAAGAATGGAAAAAGGCCTGAATCCAATATACACCTGCAGAAAACTAGTTGGCAATACACTGCGATAGTGAGACCCATTATGAACTACGGAGCGGTAGTTTGGTGAAAGGCTATTGAATGTGAACTTGAAAATGCTCACCAAAGTACAGAGAATGGCAGCAATCGGTACAACAGGAGCAAAAAGAAGCACACAGTTATACTTTTTTGAATGGAACACCCTGTATAATGTGCGTTTATTTGTTAGTCCCCTTTAACCCGATTTCAACGATATATGGTTTGATATGTTTATCTTTCGGTTTATCTCCCACAGTTATAGTAGTAGGAAAGCCGGCAATACTAACGGGTATGTGATCGTTGCAATGGAATCAATCGATAATTTCTTCATAAAACAATAGTTCATAGTAACCTTTAAACCAATGGATGGGTTGCCTTGATTCTCATGGCCGTAAAGTTGTTTTATAAAATGATGCTTTCATTAATTTTATAAATAGAACAAAACCATAAGCGCAACAAATAAGAAGTACCTTGCGGTGTAGGGGGGTTCTCATCATATGCGATTGGTATAGGGTTGCCACCCCACCCGTGGCCGTAACCCTTTGGTGGCCGGGACTATAATACTACTACTTTTTTCGATAGAACAATGTTATCGTTGCAACAGCTGAAAATGGGTAGATATATTCTTCAATTTCAAACAATTTGCTTTTTTTTAAAATCTTATTCTTTTTTTGGTGGTTACAGGTAGAAAATGGGGGTGCATAATATGAATTTTTCAATATCATTTCTACATCAATAATGCCTTAAAAATTGAACAGCCTAGCATTAGCCCTTCAGATGATATGTCACTGAGATCTTACTCTGCCTTTAAATTTCAACACCCTGTATTTTGGAAGCGACGCACTTCCCCGTCGGTGTCCTATTTCAAACTACTTCTCTATGGTTCCTCTATATACCCAATGATATACCCTAGCATTTTTGACCAGTTGAACGGGGACACCCTGTATATACCCTACATTATGTAGGTATGTACAGTCGGAATCATTGCAATTGGC